ACTTCAAATATGCGCACATAATGCGCACATTGTTGTTTTTTTCTCTGGGTGCCTTTTCCGGGATATTTTGATTCAAAACAATTTAAACTTAATCACTTAAACTTCTCTACTTTTGATATGATATAGTTGCAAACGTGTATTGAAGAACGAATGAATGAAGAATAAATGTATAGATGTACTATGGTAAATTTATGTAGGTAATACTGATTAGGTAGTGTTGATAATACGTACTTTCAGATTATTTAAAATCATACTGTCTTATTTACGGAAGACCTACAGACGCTCGTGGGTTCAATGATGAATACCAATAAATTGGAAAAATATCATAACATATATAACACAGGCGAAACAAAGTTATGATTATCTCGAAAGCATCTTTAAATAATAATGTTAGCTAGTTAAAAATAAACCGTCATAAAATGAAAGGAGAGAGATTTAGATATTCAGACTTCCTTATTACTTCAGACCTGGAGTAATAATCAATATTTGGGACTATTAACCTAAATCTAGCCCTCAGATTGACATTCCTGGAATGTTATATCTGATCACAGTTTGGTGTGGAAAACACATTGTATGGTGTGGAAAATTCTTGAAAATAATTTAAACACGCACGACAGCATACCTTGGCCATTCATTATGATACAATAAGTACTCCCTGTTACAGGTTACTCCCCATTATTATGCAGGGTAAAGTAGATGGAAGAAAAGGAATCGGAAGGGGAAAAATTAATGGCTGAGGAATATCCAGGAATGGACAGGCGTGGGAGTGGAAAAGCTGTCTCCTGTTGCTAGAAAGTGTGGTCACCAACCTCCGTTCTTCCACAGCTGCTTTTCATCAACTAAGGACTATAGGCTTTTGCTAGATTCTTGCACTTATCACCGTCTTAAACCATCAGTTACCAATTTTCACCAAAAACTTCATTATATTGTTACTAGTTACTAGGGTTTAATTGGAATTCGCGGTGTACCGGGACTTCCCGTTTCTTTTGAAACATCAAAGAACCGGGACTTGTTAATTCCTGGTTCTTTCGGTACGGTCGGGACTCGATAATAATAATTAAATACACATTTCTTGTTATGTTCGAAAGACTTTTGAATCAAACTCTTCTAAATAAGTATTGATGTTATCTCTTACTGTTCTTACTTCTGAAGCTATTTTGAAGTTTCTATAATGTTTATTAGCAATTATTGAAGTTTAAATATGTTATTTTATTATTTAGTATAATATTGCTGAAGGTATTAGTTATATTTTTTGTTGTATGTTTTATAGGCATTTGCATCTTTAATTGAAAATGTTATTTTTTTTTCTATTTTAGTTAAGTTGGTTTCGAGGTTGGTTGATATTGTTTGATGTAATTTTTAAGCTACCTGTGTGATTTCTCTTCTTTTTTCGCTTGTGTTCATGTTTACTTTCTGACAGTTTTGATGACTTAATTGATATTATTTTCATTTGAAATTTAATTTAATTTTCATTTGAAACTTAATATTATTAATCGGTTTTACTTTTGAGAACCCTCCCTTGCTAGCTACCCATACAGCACATCAAATCACATTTACGATATGTTTACATTACTAGATGTAGACACAGGGTGACACAATTCTCCCGATGTAAATATGCAACGTTTACACATTGTAGTTCAACACGTATGCACAAAGGTTAAACGTCCGCCTCACAATGTAGCCACAGTATAGCATTTACGTATACATAAAGTAAGGGATACACAGTGTGCCGTAGGATACACAGTGCTTGTGTATTACGTTTAAACTATGTTTACACATTGCAGTTGTACTACTGCGTGTATACGTATGTATTTTGCTTCGTATATACATCTTGTGCTAGATAAAACTACTTCTTATGAACGAATTTAGGAAATAATACAAGTTTTGATGCCTAACTTTTCGTTCTTTTTAAGAAATATTTATTCAATTATACCAATTATATCTTTTTAGAACGAAAATTAGGAATGCAAAACTTTGTATTTTCCAAAAGTATCTCGATCGTAAGTTCAAAAATAGCCATTTTTGTTTGTATTAAATGTACCATTTTCTTCCATAAAATGGATTCAGTGGTTAAAAATAAAATTCTTATATTTCTTTATATCATAGAAGAACGCAATAGCGCAAATAACACAATAATAATAATTATTTACACCACTTAGAAACCAGAAGTAAGAAAACACTGTAAAAGAACAGAATTTGTATCAAAATGTATTAAAATATAAGTACCTAGTATAACAACTTATACTAAAATGGTAAACACTGGTATATCGCCACTATTTGGAGGACCTCGTTTAGTCATTTTTCTCCTCTTTTCCCTCAAGCAGTTGATTTATTAGCATACTCATTCATCGAGGCACTCTGTTGGACTTTGTTGTAGTGTATTTCCAGATTAACAATCTCACCCTTAAATTTTTGCCTGAACTGATTATTGAATATTAAACATATCACAATATATCAGTCCATCAAATAACTTACCGAATATCAGTGTAAGAAGTTCTTTGAAGTGTTTAAAATCTTTCTTTCTCTGAGGTCCATTTAAGATTTTCATTATTTTCCAAGTTAAAAAAATTATATTGCAGAGCTAACTCAGCTAACCTCTTTATCATTATACGAGAATATTTGGAGTTTTCATTCATTGGAGTCAAAATTTGGTAAATTGGGTATCAGTAAGAGAGAGTCGCTGCTATAATATTAATAATACTCTTAGGAAGGTGTAACAAGCTAATTAAAAATTGGTACTTACCTGAAAATCTCTTTTAAACTAAACACAAACAGAACATTTATATAGAGCTTCCGAATGATAAAACAATAATGGCTGCTAAACACATACCACTCTAGAAAGGAGAAAGGAGAGGACACATAAGATACACAGTTGGTCAGTTGTATCTACGCTGAAACTATCCGCGCATGCGCACACCTTCATTTCATGCTAGAATGTAGACACAACAGTACACTATTACAAAGTGTCTATATAGATATTTATATTATGTGTATACGTCACATTTTTACAAGGTGCGTACTATAAGCACAACTATGATACGAAGTATCACACAGACATATGACATATACATTGTATGTCTCATATACCGACGTCAGATTTCATCATTTTAATAATTATTTGTTACGTTACAAAAAACTCTTTAGAATAGTGCATACGGTATACAACTAGTAAACACTGTATCACACAATTCTATCAATATAAACCTGCGTGTATCTCATTATGTATATGTTAGAACTAGATGAACAGTTTTGATGACTTAATTGATATTATTTTCATTTGAAACTTAATTTTTTATCGGTTTTACTTTTGAGAACCCTCCCTTGCTAGCTAATTAACGAACTCCACAATCGTTGAATGAAAATATTTTAGTACGGTTCAGGAAACTCTAATTAATACTACCAATTAGGGTTCAGATCTTTTAGCCATCACAGAACCGGGCCTCGGTAACAATAGTTAAAAAAATATTTTTTTGTTACGTGAGAAAGTCCTTTGATACTTTCTAGCGGTTGAAATCAAACTCTTCTAAATAAGCAATGATGCGATTATTGTTCTTGTTTCTTTTCTCTTTTGAAGTTCCTATAATATTTATTATGTTATGTTTTAATAGATATTTGCATTTTTAATTCAATATTTTAGTGCTTTTGTCTCAAATTCAGTTAAGTTGGTTTATGTTGCTTGATGTGAAATTTAAGTTAACTATACTTTTTTCTTAATTTGTGTTCATGTTAATTTTACTTATTTTGACTGACTTATTTTTATTATGTATCGCAATTTTTTATCCATTTTACTTTGAAAAACCATCCCTTGCTTTCTGATTGATGAACTGCACTATCAATGCACAAAAATTAGTCAGTACCGAAAGTATCGAAAAAAAACGGGAAATCCTGGTTCCTAAGCGCCGTACCGAAATTCCCGGTTCCGAAAAACAGCTCCTGTTCCGGAAACCCTAATTGTTACGACTTCCGTGGCTCTTTATATTTAAAAAAAGGTTAAAACACTTAATTACTCTATTACGTGAACACAACGTAAAATACACTACTTAATAATGTCACAAAAATAACACATACCATCTATCGATTTATGGCCACTTTCGATCAATTTCTTCTGACTTCAACTGACTTTTCTCACCTAGACCGGGGAAACACTCAAGATCAACCTACTGGTCTTAGGTAGAGCTTGTTTCAACTTCCGGAACAACCTTTCCTTCTATTTGATTTTAAAATGTTATGGACTATTTCTTCATTGTCATTGTTTTCATCATCATTAACTTAATACCTCAGATAAATTTAAAAAATTTATGGCACTCTTGTTATCAAGAGCAAATACAGAAAAACAGTCAAAGTTGTAGTGGCTCTTCTAACAGGGCCCCATTTTAAATTGAATAGACATGTAAAGCTAATGGGATCTACTGAAGAAGCCATGGACAGGTTCTGTCAATCTGGAGAAGAAACTACAGAACACATTTGAATAGGTGACGATTGGGCCATTGACAGAGAGCATCATATTATGGAGGGTTCAATCTCCAAGTTGCTAGATTTTTTGAAAAGGATAGACTAGAAAATGTAACCTAAGGATCAGAAGAAAACCATCATAGATCTGAAAAGGGTTTATCTAGGATGCTGCTCGATGTTTTACCATAGTTATATCGTCTGTAGCTTTTACGATGTTTTCTTTTCTAAAAAAATAACTAAGCTGTTAATATTTCTTATTGTACACATCCAATTACAATGCAAGGCAAAGGTAGTACTACAATACCCAACGCAATGCGATTTTCGATTTTCTCAGAAACCAATTCTTTTATTCATTTTTTATAAACCTATTACAAGACATTCATAACTCCAGTCTTTACACCCATAAATCCATACGAATCAATACCGTAATAGGTTGTAAATTAACTATCTCAAGTTACGAGATTTATTGCTATCGCAAGGAGGATGGCAACGCTGGAGAACCCATCGTACTTGGCCAGACTGCAGCTTTTCAGACGGTTCACAAACCGACTGCGAAAGCAGGAGAACCAGTCGGCATCGAGCTTCGCCGCCGAACGATACGAAAGTACGAGAGACTAAAATAGACGGTACAAAACGTGTACCTCGCCAGTTTCTGTTCCAAATTTACCGGAATACTCGTCTAGCGTTAAGAAACTTAGTGCTCCATCAGTGAAAACTACTGTTTTTAGTGATAAATTGGATTTGTAGTGATATTTGGATTTGACACAGTGAACTTTATACTGTTTTGGTGAGAGTTTTTAGTGATCCTGTGATAATTTTGGATATTTTATCGGATCTGTTGCATTTTCGTTTTTATCAACTTAAGTAAGTATTTTTCTTCTATTGATCCAATTTTGTGTGTTGATGCCGAACTGTATTGTTAAATTTTTGTAAATTTAGGAAATATGACAATATCAATGGATATCGTACCAAGTATTTTAGTATCTTTTGAAGAATCTTTTTTTCCTTGATATGTAAAAGAAGAAGGTAATATAATGCAAAAGTTTGATGAAATTTTATGTTTATTAGCTATTTTATGGAATATTTTGAAGAAAACAAATTCAAATACCGTATGATCGAGAAAAAACGGCGTCAGCGATGGCTATGAAATGAAGATCGCTGTCATTTTATATGTAAAATTATATGGGTAATATCATCGATGTTCATTTCCAAGCCAACTGGACGCCGTTTTTATTCGATCATACGGTATAATATAATCAAAAAAAAATTCACTAGATACTGGTGTTATTTGAAGCAACAGTAACTGCATTAAAAATAACCATGAATGAATATTGAGAATATAGTATCTTTTAATAAGCAGAATATAATTATTCATAAATACTAAATTCAAGGAAAATTGATTAAGTTCATATGATAATAAAATTTATCTATTTTCGAGCACATTAACAACTCTACACATATTATACTTAACAAGATTCCTAGAAAATGATATAATCCTTAAAGGAAAACTTTTATTGACATGTAACAATTATAGATTATCTTTCTTTAATACTTTTCCACAAATGGGTGGGATATTATTCATAATGTCTTTGCTACTAAGTGTCTTTTTTTAAAAACATTTTCCCCATTTGTTGCAAGATTAACCATCATAAATCTGTCTGGTATTGTCCCCAATTTTGCTGTCAGATGTTGAATCCGTTTTTAATGGCGCAGCGTTATCAGTTGCTTTCAAAGAAGTTCTAGAACCATTTGGTTCACAGATTAATACAGAAACCTATTGAAACCAAATGCTAGTGAGACACAGTAGTAGTTATTAAATATATTTTTTTTAATTTATGAAATCTAGTAATTTAATATTAAAACTAAGTAATTACGATATCTTAAGGATAAATTTCAGTATAGAAACATTATTAAAATAATAAACTTAATATTTATTTCTGTTTAAACACAATTCTATTAGTTACAATTATCATTTTTATTATTTTATAACTAATAATTTAGTCAATTATCGACATAAAGAAAATTTGCCTCGAATTAAATTAAATGAGTCGATTCACGGTTTAATCAATTTAACTATTTTAGCCTCATTTCAATGTCATCAAAATAATAGAACACATGTTGTAATTTGTATTTCTGTAATGCGTTGGTGTATGAATATTTTGTGCAAAATATAAATTAACAGAGGAAATAAGTTTTAACCAAATTTCAGGAATTATAAATGTCAATGTTTAGTATTTTGAATAGGCGCATAAATAGGTACAATAAATATAGGGAAATTAAAATAACTTTGGTTGCACATCATAATACGACCACCAGCAAACTCCATAAGACGACGCATGGCGTGCAACGAAAATTGTTCCAATTTCCCTTATAATTTGAAGCTTGTGACGAGTAACGTAATTTAAAACTTACTAGAGAGCTTTAATTATTTAAACAAGTGCTTTAATAAACATTAATAATTAACTATTGCCTGTTAAAAAATAAATATGACTCCCCGCCCATTCCGAAACTTACATGTTTGCTTTCCAAAACTACCAAATATGAGTTTTTATCTTTGAGTTGAGATTGTAGTTCTTAAAGAACTTGCTTAGTCTTTTCCAATAAAAATTATGAAAATTTAGGATAGTAAGTAGTAGCATATTATCTTGAATGCAATATGGAATTTTCTGAATTGATAATTTTGTATTCAATATTATTAAGCACAATCAACAGAATAATTATTACAAAAAAATTATTTTCCATTTGTCATGGGCAGTATATTTGAAATTGTTTTTAAACTTCTATTATGGTCTTATTCCATGAAGAACGAATGAGAAATATGTCAGGACTACCGAGAGGTCTCAATTTATAACGTTGCCAACAGTTTTCTGAAAACTCGACTAGGCCTGACTGGTTTGTAATTCTTCTAGGAACAAGTTTATTACGTACTCTGGTTTAAATGAAAATATATCACACAATATGGTTCAAAACAGTAAAATGTTTCAAAAACTCCACATAAGAATTTTTAAAGCCGTTTAAGTATGTTTTTCTAGATATTTAGTCAAATATAACATGTGTTATACATTCAAAGAACCTTTTTCATTTTAAATATCCGTTATATGATATACCGGGTGGTGCATCGTCGTTGGGAACATAGGAAATTCCATGCAAACTTTGAACTGTCCAAATATTGGTTCCTCTATTATTTTTACATTTGAGTCATAAAAAGATTTTTAAAGGTCTGCGTATGCTGAATACACATGTCAAATTTGAACAGTTTTGGACAAGCCGATTTTAAATAATTTAAGAAAAACTGAATCTATTTTTAAATTAAAACTGAAAGGGTAACAATGAAAAACCTACTGTAAACAAATGCCAACGTACCTTACTGTTTAACCAGCGGATCTGAAGCTACGGAAGGAATGCGAGAAAAAAAAATCGATATTGCCACGTTTTTCTCTAAAATTGCAAAATTGCCAGACATGAACTATAAATTTAATATATTTTTATTATATATAATGTGTTTAGCATATATTCTGACGTATACTACTAAGGAATTTTAACGTAGTTCATATTGTTCGATATGTTTTATTTAATAACTTATTTCTCTTTCATTCTGTATAATCTGCTTATTATGAAAGTTGAAGATTTTTCAACGATATCATTGGCAAACAGGCATCGCCGCGCATGGCCGCCTATTCATCGAACATGTTTGGCGAGAGTACGTCACAGGATTTGTTACCACGCGGTTGCCATGGCTTTTACGCCTTTCCTATTCGCTTGCTTTATCCCCAACTTCACGGTCTCTTCTGAAAAGAGTAGGAATATTGAATACTATTGAAATATCCAGTGGCGGTGTCATTTTTTTGATCATTATTACTTTATTTCATTATTTTATACCGGTTATCCTAAACTTTATTCCTATATTTTTAGTATATTTGATAGTTAAGTTGTGTTTTATTGTTTTGTTATCTTGTTATAATGTTTTTCGTTCGTAGTTTTTAATTATTAATATCAAGTTTGATCGTATATTTGTGTTTTAAAACGAATAAATTTGTTAAGGGTAAGACGCTACATAGTCAGACAAGAGAAATAATAGCTAATTTATATAGGTAAGTTAATAATAACGTGGATGAAATCTCATTTGGTGTATTTCCTTGTGTTCATAATAGGGTTTGCGATGAAGAAGCTACAGAGAGTTCGCTTGAGTTGCCGCTTAAACGTAAACTTGAGCGGATATTTCTTTATACCGGAGTTAGCGTATCGGCTATAAAAAAATTCACACAGAAGATAAAAAAAGGCTGAAAACTAACCCCGATAAAATGATATCCTCTCTGGAAAGAAACGACCACGTGAGACTGCTGTCGAAAAGCTCGACGACTTTTTCGAAGTGGTCAGGAATTTGATAAATATATTTTATCTCGAATTCAAACTCGTCCCCACAATTAGAAAGCTTTTGCAAAAATTGCAGGAAGAATTGAATTTTCCTTTTGCAGGTAAACGCTTAGGGGGTTATTAAAATCAAATGAATTTTTTTGGCGTAAATATCAAAATAACAGATAATTATTAATGGAGCGGCCCATTATATTGCAGAGAGAGATTGCATTGCAAAAATATATACGCGAAATTCGAAAATATAGCCAAGTATTATCTATTTGGATGAAACATATGGGTAGACAATGACCTAACCTTTAAAAACTGCTGGCGGAGCGATACCATATCTGGTGTAATAGGCAATATTGGATCTACTAGTGAGTAAAATTATGTTTTGTTTGCGCTTCCAAAGTTAACTATTTTCAAGATTTTTTTGCTGGAAATAGTTATATCTAGAATTATGTATTATAGAAAAAAATATAGTTAGTACAGATATATAAATAAATATACCTCAAGACTCAGTCTTGATCATCTGCTGATGGCACACATGGTTAGCGAAACGTGCGTCCAGTGTAAAATTAAAAGTGTTTTGGTGGATTGTACTGATTTAGTGTTTTATTTTGCTGTGTAACACCAAAGGTTCCAACCCCCAGCTCTAATTATTTCTTCTATTATATTAACAACACAATAATAAAATGATTCAAAATATTTAAGGGAGCTTTAATAAAAGCTTTTAGTGTTTATCTGCTAACTCAACAGTCAGTGTTACCAACTCCGGGATTTTATCCCTAAATTTGGGGAGAAAAAATCTATATGGGGATTTTTTTAGGGAGTAAAATATTTTGGGGATATTTTTAGGGATAAAATTTCATTGGAATTTTACCGCTACCAAAGAGGAGATAAGACCGCTACTGCTATTTTTCAAAATTAATAGGAAAGAATAAATAAAACAAAATAATTTATTTATTTTAATCACCGAATCTTGGATAGCAGCTGTGGGGATTTTAGTTGTTTGGATTTAAGAAGGTTTGATAGCTTTAAGCAAATACGATTTGGCTTTAAGGAATAGTTTCGAACAGTTGGCTACACTGCTGTGATCAGACGTTTTAAGGTCAACCACTTAAAACAGAACAAATTGTTTATTTATTACTATTTATATTTCTAGGGTTTTTTCGGGATATTTTTTTAGGTTTTTAGGGATATTTTGGGGTTTTTTGATGCGAGCGTTTTAGATTTTTAGGGAGATAAATTTTTGAGAGTTGGGAACACTGTCAACAGTAACGATTCAAACAGCATAAAGTTTTTTGAAAAAATTATTAATCTGAGTATTATATTATTTATGATACACATTATTTTCATATAACACCGTACGCCCTGCCTATTTTATGAATGAAATTGGGCGTGTTTTGTTTACAACTGCGTTCCCCTGCCGATACCCCGTAGCTACAGATCCGTTGGTCACACTATAAGTGTCATCCTATAATTGTGTCATTGTCAAATTATATTTTCTA